ATGTGACATATACATTAGATTTTCTATTATGATAATAACTTATGGTTTCATTAAGGACAAATGAACACTGCGTTGTTGAGTGTCTATTCTTAAAGCCGAACTGTAGATCGGATGATTTTAAACAGTCCTGATTTTGAATAAGAATAATCCTATCAAATATTTTCCCAATAATGCTGCTCAGTGCTATTCCCCTGTGGTTATCAGAATCATTTAAAGATTTCTTGCGATTTTTGGGGATAGATATAATTGTGGATAAAATAAAATTTGGAGGACAGTAGCCATGGATAAGCATCCCAGTTAATAATAGTGAGAGATGTACATAATATGATGGTGGGGCATATATAATATGTTCTGATGATTGACCTAAGTTCCCATCGAATTTATTATATTTCAAATGCTTAACAACTTTTATAACATCTGACGTAGTTATCACGTGGTGATGGCTGCATTCATCTAGACAGCTGTTTCTAATATTTGATTCAAGTTCGTCTTGTAGTTTACTTATTTCTTGCTCATTATATGGTACACAATTAAATAATTCATTATATTTAGAGAAAAACAAATTTGCAACATTTTCTTAGCCTATATTACCATCGACGCAGTAAGGCGTATTACTACATGAGCCTTTAATCTTCTGAATTTCTCGCCAAAATGTTTTTGTTCTGTTATTTAAAAGGTTATCGGCAAGCCTATTTGAACAAATGCGATCACTATCCAACTTCACAGACCTGAGAGCATAATGATAACGAGCTCTAGTGCGTCGCCGTATATCGGCAAGATATCCAGAGCGTGGGGAGTTGTTTTCCTTCCATATATTATGCCAAAATATGGATGCTGTTCTGTAGTCTCTTAAATTATGTGATCGTTCCAACCAGGAACGGGTTTCCGGTTTCCTGGTTTGGAGTGTGGTATGCTACGACATGCTGCATATATACTACAGTTAATGATCCTGTTAAAATAGTCATTTAGAATTGTCCTGTGAAGGCTACACGACACATCGTTGCAGTTAATAGCCTCAAATGGTATCGTTATTTTACGTAGTTCATTATCAAGTATATTTTGATAATGTGAAATTTCATCGTGGGAACTTTTCTGCCACTTGAGCGAACTAATGTGCTTGCATGAAGATATTCTTTTGTTAAGCACTTCTACCTGTATATTTAGAGTTAAGCTTATAGCAGAATGATCAGATAGGTTATCGCCATCATGAATAGATGTATACTTGATAATTTTATCAGAGTCATTTTCAGATAAAAGGAAGTGACTTAGCTACTTTAAAGCGATCGTTACGGTACTCGATGGGACCTGAGAGAGAGAGCGAGAGAGGGAGAGAGAGTGGGGGGGGGACGTCCACTCGACACAAACTAGGTCATTTCGGGACTAACATATGGATCTATTTTATTTCAACCGGAGAAAACCCGCGAGGATGGACAGGCGACCCTATTCCTTGTTACGTACAACCGGGGAATCGAAACCACGCCAGTTGACTCAGTGACAGACCTTATGATACAACGTGCACACGTTAACCATTCGGCCATCCAAATCCCGGTTATCATAAGTAACGATAACAGTCAGCTCTGAACGTCATCGGCTCCTTGATGGTGTCAGTCCCTGCAATATCACCCACGGTGGAAGCGAACGCAAAGCCTTAATTAAGAAGAAGAACTAAATGACAGTAAAATTAATCTCGAAAGTGTACACTACTCATATTTTAATGCGATTGTAACACTACACGGTACATAGGCTAGACGGGGATACTTTTCTTCTTTTGTTGTCCCCCCCCACCCGTCTTCATGAACCCAGTCGGATCAAAACAGTAGGACGTTAAATCTTATTTTTTTTCATTTGTTGTCTCCCCGACTTGAAATGAAATGAGGTTTAACGTCCTATCTCTTCTAAGCCGACCGGGCTAATGAAGACGGGCATACGCTATGCAGTGGGCTAAATCTATTTGTTAGGGCCAGCTCAATTTTTGTCAAGGTCATTGAGATGTAAATAAGGTTAGGACACGTGATTGTTGGCGAGATTGTAGGTTATGGTTAGGTTAAGCATTGTTGCTAGGTCCAGGGTTAGGGTTAGGGATGGATTAGCGCTAGCCCTGTTTACATCTCGTGACCTATGACGAAAAATTGAGCTGGCCTTATCAGTTAGCACTAACACTATGCAGTGTGTTTTGAGCAAAATTTTGCTCGGATATGGGATGGGCAATAATCTTAATATATAGAATTCCAAATGCCATTTGGTGTATTACATGCACACCAACGTGTATACGGAGCTTCTATGTTTAGTCCCTTCCAAACGAACAATTTGATTAAAATACAGATCCATATTTCGTTTCGTTTTTTTTTTTATTATTTTATACTTTCGATGGCCTACACTACATGAAGATCTGACAAGTTGTACTCGAAGGTCGTGTCAGGGGTTGTACGAGCGGCTTTTGACCCTATGACGTCAGACATTGATTAATCAATCAGCGTTGACGTTTCTAGTGGTTTACCCACAATTCCGTGCATGGCACGCCATGAAGACCGTTTCATTGTCTTATCCCTCACTTCAATCAAAACGCCGGTAATATAACAACTCTTCCAGATCCTAGTGTAGTAAATACAAGTAAAACGAAATTTTGAATTATAAAAAACGAAACGAAATATGATCTGTGTTTTAATCAGATTGCCAAACGAAGAGACAAAAACCAGTTTCAAAACCCGGACTCTATGATTAAGTAAGCCAACGCCATACTCGGTTGGGGGTGGGGGGGCTATTAAAGACAGATTCTCACGAAAGTATTTATAGGGTAGTTATTTCCAATAAAAGTATGGCAAATTTGGTGTAAATTAGAGACGCCCAATCTTACTAGAAAAATACATGATCCGTGAAAAACATCCATAAGGCAAGCTCTGGGCAAAAGATAATGTCACTCTGCAGCCCGACGGCTTATTATTTGCCAGCTTGACTTAGGGGGCGCTAGTTATTTTTTAATCGACTGGTCAGGCGATTTTATGAACATTGGGGCGGTTAAATGTACAAAAGGCCCTGCAATTAAACAGTGGAAAAGAAGTTGGCAGCAGACAATCCAAGAATTTACTTAGGTTTCAGTGCGTATGACAAATTGGCAGTAAGCAACTACACATACATTCAGACGGGCCCTCCCTCAATCAAGTTACATGACAAACATGGCTTCTAAAAATAGATTTTTTTATACCTTGGGGTATTTTTTTCGCGAATACTATCTTCTGAGAGGTATTTGAAGCAAATTTTTGACAGATGAACTAGTTTGAATATGTTTTTAGTCCAAACATATCTTCAAATCATCCAGTTTGTACCCTGGAAGGCATCGGCAATGTCGGCATGTCGAACCGTCTCTCCATCACACGAGATATCTCAACGCTTTAGCTACTTTCTCGTAGCTACCAGGGGCACCGGAATGTCCGGGGGTCAGGGAGTGGCAATATTATGGCCGAAATACACTTTAAAGGACAGTCGGTAAAATTATTGCGCATGTCAAGCTTTTATATGCTACATTTGCTTGACACAATAAATAAGCAAATAACTTACTACTGATTTTCCAATGTATTTTTTAAAAGGTTATAGATTCTAAAAAAAAAACCCAAAAAAAACCCCACACACTCAACATGGCCTTTATTATATAAAAACGTAAAAAGTACATCTATATAAATCGTAAGAAAAGGTAAAAAAGAAATTATATATTTTTGGCCTTGCTACGCTCAGCATGAATCTAGGTTGCACCCACACTCGCCTTTTCAGAGTTTCTTTATCCGCTAAACATTCTACAATTTCCGCTGGCTCTTGTGACTAGCTTCGTTAGATTCACGTGCGATTATTGGCTTGGAAACTATCAAAAGGAAGAATTTGAATCTGATTAGTGACTTTGTCTGAGGGGGTCACGGTGGCTATGTGGGTAAGACGCTGGCTCGCTAGCCTGGAGGTCAGGTGTTAGCTCCCTGCATTGGCCGAGAAAATTCATCTACATTTTCCGGCGTGGTCCCCCCTTACCAGTGATGCCTGACGGAGGGCCTGACAAGGACAGCTGTCTAGTCATTCGGATGGAACGAAAAACCGAGGTCCCGTGTACACATTGGCGTGCACGTAAAAGATCCCTTGGCAGTTGAAATTCGATGTAAGAGTATAGGCCGTAGTGCCGCTGTCCGGGCAAAATTTCCCTCATAGCACATTGTATGGCGTATGCCCGTCTTCATTAGCCCAGTTCGGAGTAGAACAGTAGGACGTTAATTTAATTTCATTTCGCTTTGTCTGAGACAAAGGGGGGGTTGGATGGCCGAATGGTTAGCACGTGCGCGCTGTGCTGTATCATATGGTCTGTCATTGAGTCAACTGGCGGGGTTACGATTCCCCGGTTGTACGTGGCAAGGAGTAGGGTCGCCTGTCCAATCTCGTCGGTTTTCTCCGGGTCCTCCGGTTTCCTCCCACTGCTAAAGACCCCTACGCTTAAGCTTATTGAAATAATATTGAACTATTCCGAAATGCCCTAGTTTGTGTGGCATGGACGTTACCTCCTCCTCCCCCTCTCTCTCTCCCCTCTCCCTCCCCTATCTCTCTCTCTCTCTCTCTCTCTCTCTCGTAATTGATTAAAATATCTGCACATTTGTAATTAAACACACAGCTATCCACCGAGATGCATGAATCGATATGCTGTTTTCATTCCAGGTGATCGGATTAACTTCTCTGGTATATCGTATTAACTTATAAGGTTAATCATATTTCTGGTATAGCATATCATAACATGTGCTTGCAGTGATTAAACAGCATATTTATTCACAATTTAACCTTCAAAATTGTTTCCAAAATTATTGAAATAAAATTGAACCATATGTTAGTCCCGAAATGACCTAGTTTCTGTTAAACCCCATCTCTCTATCTCTCTCTCTCTCTCTCTCTCTCTCTCTGTCTGAGATAAACACCCGAATTTAGCCACCCCCCATACCGGAAGTAATAGTTCTGATCAATAGTCTTCTTTGTCCAGTATTTTAATAACGAAAAATTGATTCCGGGCAATGATTTCATTTTTTATGATTTTCAATATATCAGATATAAGAAAGAAATCCGGAAAAGGGGTGCCGTTATTTACAATCATATAGGCTGAGGCCTTATGATGCTTGGCCTTATTGAATAGGCCACCATACTGAATACTGGAGCAGTATATAAATAAAACTGACATTCGATCAGTTCACAAGTGTCTGAACTTAGAGAAGAGAGAGAAGTAAAAAAAATATGAATGAAGACAATAATTTGGGTAGGCCTAAATGTCACGTCATTACAAAACAGAAGAACAAAAGGCTTAATGTTAACTATGTCATAAAACAATTCTATGTTTACAAGTTGATCCAGATACCGATACACTGAACCGATCCCCTATAGTTATTATAGTACTAATAGTAGTAGTGGATAGGCTAGTGCAGTGATTCACTAATTACATTATAATTTACGGTACCGGTATAGGCCTACAGATTTTAGATTGGTTGATCAATCATAAGTGATGTACACTGGTGATGCATCATGTTGCCATTTTTAGGGACTTCATTGTCAGTGAAACTGACAACTTATGACTGCCCATTTATATGATAACCATGGATATCATTCATACTACGTAAAGTACCAGTAGTGAAAGAGTATGTTATTTTTCTTAAGAAAATATATAGAACAGTTATGCTTATAGGTTATCTTAATTAAAGTATTTCTATTTTTTCATTTGTTACAGATTATCAACAATTATATGAATTAAAATAGGCCTGTTTGTCACTGGTAAACCTGTATAGTTATGTGCCATAATAATATAATCATTGAAGGAGATAAGTGCTAGTGTGACGAACTGGTTTTTATGTGCCATGTATTAAAATCAAAAATGTGTAAGTATAAATCAATAGTAGTCTATGTGCCTAATGACAAGTAGGCCTACATAATTTTATAATAACTGCAGGAGACTGCGTACATATACTATTTCTGACCTACTCAAACCCTCAAATTTGAAAAAATCTCGACTGTTTAGATACTATGGCACTTCATTAGATTACGGGGAGTTGGATGGCTGATTGGTTAGCGTGTGAGCGTTAGTGCTCCTACGGTTAGGACTTTTTGTTATTCGAATAACCGTAGCTATTAACCGGTTAGTAACCGTATGGTATCAATTTTAAACATAAAACAGAGCTTGTCAGGAGGTGCGAGGCATTACTCGTGCGCATGCTATACTCGCCTAAAACAGAGCTTGTCAGGAGGTGCGAGGCATTACTCGTGCGCACGCTATACTCGCCTAAAAGGCATTACATACAGCATTACATACGCAAAAATTTCAGGAATTTTTTCATAGAATTGTACATTTCTTTAATGAAAATTTAAACTATCCAAGGCCGTAGTTATTTGTTTACCTGGTTAACTTGGTTCATTTGAAACATTTTTTAATTCAATATATATCTATATCTACGATAATATACAAAACAATACTCTGTTTCCCTTAGTACGTGACATATGGCAATAATATTACGAGTACACAATGTTACTACGAATAGAATAATGTAAATTGAAAGGCGTCTATTGATTGGACAATAAAGAAATAATTCCTCGCTTGCAAGTATAATATTTATGATTGGTTAATTTAACTAAAATCCAAAGTAGAATTCTTTTGAGAAATTACGAGAAATGAAACGTTTTGAATGTCGTAACGAATCTACTATAATGTCATTTTCTAGCCTTTATGATTATATTTTGAATGGTGGTTACGTTTTTAAGTAAATATTAAACAAGGTAGAATATAGTTAGAAATGCCGAGAAGTATTTAGATTGGATTAACAATAGCTAAAGTCAGAACCAGGTCTGTTGACTTTGCCGTATGACTACGACGAGTGCTATTAATAGTATTATTTTTTAGCAGTCGACATCGTAGGACGACTGTTACATTCTAAGATTTTCAAACATCAAATACAAAATGACAACGGGCAAGTTTTGTTATAAAGAGGAATATAATCAGACACAACTCTATGTAATGGGGGACATCTCCGAATAACCGTACCATTGAATTCGAACCGTTTAACTGTCCATTTCTAACCATTTACGGCTATCCTACTAGACGTAGGAGCACTAGCGAGCACTGCATCATAAGGTCTGTCATTGAGTCAACTGGCGTGGTTTCAATTCCAGTTGTACGTGACAAGGAGTAGGGTTGCCAACCAGGGGCAGAGCCACACCAGTTTTTTCTATGTGTGTCTGTGTGTTGCCTACAGGCCACTATTCTTAATACATCGTCTTGGAACTTGGCATATATGTATTCTTTATAGCAACTATTGATTTTGGTGCATCTTCCAACCCCCAGGGGTAGAGCCATGCCCAATGTTTGTGTTTATCGTATACAGGCCACAATTCCGATTGGGTTACCTTGGAACTTGGTATGCTTGGATGGCAACTATTGATTTTGGTGCATGACCCCACCCCCACCTTTGGGCAGTGCCACACCCACTTTTTGTTCTGTAAATAATCTACAAGTTACAATTTTTAACAGATTTGGATCCAATTCGGCATGATTCATCATTGGGTTGTACCTATTTATATTGTTCCATATCAAACCCCAAGGGGCAGAGCCATGCCCAATTTTTGTGTTTATTGTCTACAGACTGCAATTCTGAATGAATCATCTTGGAACTTGACATATTTGCTCCTTTTACCGCAATATTTTGGCACATGTTTTTGTTAATAATTAGTCTGTAAATTTTGGCAAAATTTTGTCAGTGATGCAGGACGGAGGGGTTGACAAGGAAAGCTGTCTAGTCGTTCGGATGGGACGAAAAACCGAGGTCCCATGTACACATTGGCGTGCACATAAAATATCCCTTGGCAGTTGGAATTAGATATAAAAGTAGGCCGTAGTGCCACTGTCCGGGCAAAATTTCCCTCATAGCACACTGTATGGCGTATGCCCGTCTTCATTAGCCCAGTTCGGAGCAAAACAGTAGGACGTTAAACCCCATTTCATTTCATTTCATTTCTTTGCCTCTTGTCATATTACAGTTGTTGCAGCCATTTTATACTTCATTCTCTTCATTTAAAACAATACCAAATCAAGCAGAAATGTGGATGTATATTGCAGCATTAGAGATGCTCTTGTTGATCAAATATTTAAATGATTTTTTTAGGTTAAAATATCTGATTTGTGTACCTGAATATTGCATTCTTCACTCAGTGTTCTTATGAACAATTATATTGGTAAGATAATATCAGATACCTGGTATGAATAGAAAATGATAATATTTGTAATATATGCAAGAATTAAAATTAACTGCTGAATTACTTATAAAGGCAAACAAAGCACAGTTTGCATTCTAATTATCACAAAAGAATATGTACAGTTATTTCAATCCAAGTTTTCTTGAAATTTGTAATAAAGGTGGTGTTTTGAAAACAAAATCGATAGACGCTAATATTAATACTAAATGGCCTTAAAAAAAGCTAGAATTAAATTTCGGGGACCAAAATAATTTTTAGTACAGTAAGTTTTTATATGCTCACATTTTCATGTGGCGGTATATACTGTCATGTCCCCTGTCCATTCCTCCATCCTAGGGCTGCAACAAAGATACAGTATATCTCGGTATACATGCCATGGTTAAATCTGTACCATCGGTCGGTACACACAGTGCTAAGACGGCATAAAGCGGTATACACGACACAGTTCGGTTGTGAACTTTAATTCCATACTGCGAATCGGTTAACACGGTATAGATTTTTTTTCCTAAATTCAACTATTATGCAGAGTTATATCCCTGTTGTTCACCTGAGAATGAGGAAAAATGGCTTCCCATGGTATCCCGCTGAAGTTATATTCACCTCTATGTGGTTGTATATTGCGTCACCCCCATCCGTTGGTCCGTCAATATCCTATTGACATGAAATTTATATACAGTGGACTCTGTCACTTCCGACATCTAAATGCTACGGCATTCTGGGAAATCCGTCATCATTTGAATGTGCCGATTTATTTCCTTATTACTTCAACCCAAAAAGTAGTCCAGATTCTGAATATTCCGAATTACGACATCAATCAGTGGTCCCGTCACACGATTGCGTTCAATTAACATTGGATAATCCGGCCTTCAATCAGTGGGTGTTACCGAAAAGCAATCACTAACCATTTATCTGTGAGCATGAAACACGTGTCAGTCTTTGTTGATTACCTTGATAATTTTATAATCTCTCGTAAGAGAGACTCGATATTTCATTTGAGTTTCTCGCGTCAAGTACAGCAACATTATTATAAATTGACAAGATGAAGAATCACTTTCATTATAATATTATGTTCATAATGTATGATTGTACAGAATGCTCTATCCTTTTTTAAGTTCTGGGTATTCGAAGGTGCATTATAATAATACTTCCGGTATTCAAAGGTACAATACTACTTCCAGTATAACACTCCGATATTGCGGCAATTAAGTATTCCGACATGCTGTATAATCCGGCATATTGTGTTGATTCTGTATGATGTCGGAATTGACAGAGTTCACTGTAAAGTGTTTAAGGTCACGAGACAAAGAAGTCTATTGATTTTCAAAAATTCCCAATTCTTATTGCCAGAGTTATGGCCCTTGATCACTTAGAAATATCTTGGGGATGCTCTAGAGGCTAAAGTTAATATCCGATTGACTTTAGATTTATACACATCATTCAAGGTCATGAGATGAAGAAGTTTATGATTTTCAATGATTTTCGATAATTACTGCCAGAGTTATGGCCCTTGATAACTTTGACGCTCTAGAGGCTCCAGTTAATATCTGATTGACTTTAAATTTATACATAGTGTTTAAGATCATTAGACGAAAACACCTATAATTACTGCCAGAGTTATGGCTCTTGATTACTTCGAAGAATTGTGTGGATGCTCTACAGGTCAAAGTGATCATTCCATTGACTTTTGATACAAAGTCTTGATCAATATATTGTCGTCGCCCCCATCCGTCCGCTCACATTTTGTTTGTGGACACTCTACAGGTTACAACTTTTATCCGATTTTTGATGAAACTTGAAACAAAGACGGCTATGAATTTCAGCCATTTCCATTCATTATATCTACAGTTATGACCCTTGTTTAACTACATTGAACCTTGTGAATGCTTTAATGACAAAAGTTATCATCTGATATGTATGGAATTGATATGCATCATATAGATTTCCGAAACGAAGAAGCTTATTGAATTTCAGCAATTTCTGGTAAATACTAATAGAGTTATGGTCCTTGTTTCGCTTTGTTGCACCTTGTGAACGCTCTAACGACAATAGTTATCTAATGACCAAAGTTATACTCTGATCTGTAAGAAATTTCTATGCATCACTTATATTAGTGTGGGGATCACGTGGCTAATTGGGTAAGACCCTGGGGGCTAGCCTGGAGGTCGGGTGTTCGATCCCTGCATTGGCCTAGAAAGTTCATCCAGATTTTCCGGCGTGGTTCCCCCTTGTCAGTGATGCAGGACGGAGGGCCTGACAAGGACAGCTGTCTAGTCATTCGGATGATACGAAAAACCGAGGTTCCATGTACACATTGGCGTGCACGTAAAAGATCCCTTAACAGTTGGAATTCGATATAAGAGTAGGCCGTAGTGCCGCTGTCCGGACAAAATTTCCCTCATAGCACACTGTATGGCGTATGCCCGTCTTCATTAGCCCAGTTCGGAGCAGAACAGTAGGACGTTAAACCCCATTTCATTTCATTTTCTATAGTTATGGCCCTTGTTTAACCCTGTTGAACCTTGTGAATGCTCGATTGACACAAGTTATCATTCGATCTGTATGAAATTTACACGCTTCATTTAAATTAGTAAAATGAAGAAGCCGATTGATTTCCGTTAATGTCTTCTAGAGTTAT